GGGTCAGGATGCCAGCCTGCTGAAACAGGGTTAGGCCTGCCCCCTTCCCTGCCCACCCTCATCCCCTCCACTCCTTCTCCCAAATCCCAGACCCCAGTTCCACTCACATCTTTTCAGACCCTTCCCTTCACCATGTTTTCTTACCATGTCTTTGCTCATGCCATCGTTTCCCCTTCCGATGCCCTTCACTCTCACCTCCCACGAAAACTCCTACCTGTCTTTTAAAACCCAGTTCAGAACTAGCCCCCTACTGGAATCTTTCTTGGATCTCTCAGGCAGTTAAATGTTCTTGTTCTGTGCTTCCACAGTCTTTTTGGAGACTTTATGAGCCCCAGTTCATCACTCCAATTACCTGTGTACTTGTCTGTCTTCCCCCAAAAAGGTCTCAAGGACAGGAATTGTGTCTTATTCATCATTGTGTCCTCAGTGCTTAATAAAGGACTTAGCTCACAGTAGGCTTTCACTAAGTGTTTGTTGACTGACTGTACGAATGTAATAATAGATTAATTCACAGGTTCTCTCAGCTCTGGGATCCCTGGCTCCTGCTGTTTTCTCTTCTTCTTTGGCTGTCTTGGGCATTTATTGAAGCCTTCCACAGTCCTGTGACTTATTCCCTATGGCACTACTACCCACTCCCAGTCCTGAGCAATGTCTGCTGTCCGTAACATAGGACACTACAGGGCTATAGACCCAAAGCTTCTTGAAGCTAGAGATCTGGGAGTTAGGTCCTGAGGAAGGAACACAGAAGAATGAGGACACAGTGGAGTGAGTTGGCACCTTGATGTCCTCATTGGCCATGTGGGGTCTGATGAGTGGTTTCAGGCTCTCCTTCCCAGGCAGGCCTCTGACCAGGCTCCAGGCATGGCTGCCACTTGCCTGCCCTCCTACCTCCCCAGGCCCATGGCTGAGCGGCTGGCGGAGGCTGCACTGGGCCAGCCTGAGCAGACAGCCTTGCGCAATTGCTGGCTCCAGGCCTCCCAGCCCAGCTTGTAGCTCCCCCCAGAGTGGCGGGATTGATTGGCTGCAGCCGGAATGGGCACCAGTCTCCCTGGCTTGGACAGAAACGGGGCCATCTGTTACACCTCTAGTTAAAAGTACATAAAGTTGAACATTTGTGCGCCGACAATACCACCCCTGACACCCTACACGCGGCACAGCGCTCCGGCTCCTTGGCAGGCTTGCGCCCCGCGACAGGCCGGCGCAGCAACGCCTACATGCTGGCTTATTTGGCACTGCTGCAGGCACCAGGACTCCACCCTCCAGAGGCCTGTCCCAGCTGGGTCTAGCCTAAAATCTCAGATCCCACCTGTATTAGAGAATAAAAGGGAGGATTGAGGGGTGTGAAGGTGTATATTGGTGGGCAACACCTGCTCCAGCTCAGGGTGCCTGCTGGGCTGCAGATAATGCCAGGCTTCAGGCTGTGATTTGGGAGGACCCAAGAAAGCTGCTCATGCCAGTCCCGGGGGGCAAGTCTCAGGCGGACCCAAGTTGCTCCTGTGCTTGGGTCAGGCCTTTGGTTTCCTGGACTAAGCCAATTAGAAAAGTCCACTTTGTTTCCCAATAAGATCATGCCCCTTGAGTTTGGAGTGCCCAAGGCATCCTGTTACAGCAGCTAGTGGGACCACCCTAGACAAGACCAGGTCCTGAACTGTGCCCTTGCTTTCTGAGTTCTAGGCTCTGGTTTCTGGGCTCCAGGATGTGGATTCTGATTTCTGAACCCCATTTTCTGTTCTCTGGCTCTGGGTCTGGAGATTTAAGGCATTCCACAAATGTCTTTTCCCACTTGTCTTCTTCAGGTGCTCTAGTCAGGCTAGCCTGCCTGCTCCCCAAAACGATTGTGGCCATTCCTGCCTCTGTCCCTTTGCTCTTGCTCCCCATCACTCCAACCTAGAATGGTCTATTTGTCTTCTTCTTCTTCTTCTTGTTCTTCTTCTTCTTCTTCTTCCTCTTCCTCTTCCTCTTCTTTTTTTTTTTTTGAGATGGAGTCTCACTGTCGCCTAGGCTGGAGTGCAGTGGTGCGATCTTGGCTCACTGCAACCTCTGCCTCCCTGGTTCAAGCTATTCTCCTGACTCAGCTTCCCAAGTAGCTGGGATTACAGGCATGTGCCACCACGCCCAGCTAATTTTTGTATTTTTAGTAGAGATGGGGCTTCACCATATTGGCCAGACTGGTCTCAAACTCCTGATCTTAAGTAAACCTTGGCCTCCCAAAGTGCTGGGATTACAGGTGTGAGCCACCACACCCAGCTAGAATGGTCTATTTCTTCCCTCCAACCACTCAATTCTTCTCATGCTTCAAGGACTAGCTCTAGTCTTAGTTTTGCCAGCCAGGCTTCTCTGGCTATAGGCCCTTCCCTGCTCTGATCTGCAGAGGTTTCCCTCACCGTCTGAATGGTTTCTTAAGAGATTTCTCCAGTATGAGTCTTGAGATCCTTCTGCACAGGCAGAATCTGGGCTGGTCCTTGCCTTATCCACAAACTAGCAAAGGGCTAGGCATGTGATGTCAGGGGAGGCTCTAGACATGCCCACTTGAACGCAGCCCAGCTGTAGAATAAGGGGGATAATAACTGCAGAGGTGGTTCTGGCTCCCTCAGTGGCTACCCTAGTGGCTCTGTCAGTCACAGCCCAGAAAGCAGATGGCCAGGTAGGCAGACAGCTTTTAGACATTGGTTTACTCATGTGTTTGTTTGATACACATTCATTGAATACCTTCTCTGTGCCCCAGGCCTGTGTTCAGCATGGAACAAGAGAGGGAATCATTTAAAAAACCGTGATTAGACACAGTCCCTACCCTCAAAGAGCTTATCCATTAGTTTAAGACTATAAGTCACAAATAATGACAATGCATTGAACCAACCAAAATCAACAGAAGTGCTCTTTGTCTTATGCAACAATGGACTCTTGGAGCTGGAAAGGACCCCAAAGTCAGAGACTCTGATATCCCATCTTCAGCTAAAACACATTTATATACATTAAATGAAACAATGTGATGAAAGCTTTTACTTGACACAAAGTGATGGTCAAACGATGACAATGTTGGTGATGACAATAAGACTGTGATTATTTTCCTTCTTAGCAGGCACTAAGCTCTGCTTGCATATTCCATGTGTTGGGGGAAGCTCATTCCATTGTTTCCACTTTGATCCTCAGAAAGCCATTCTCAAGGACAAGCTGAAATCAGCCTCCCTGTCCCCTCTCAGCAATTCACTGGACTTAATTCTAACTCCCAGACCACACAGCAGAGCTGGGACTAGGGTGAGGTGAGTGAGATGCCCAAGGCACAAAACCTAAGGGATCGCACACAGCGCTGAGAGCAGATGCCTTCCTTAAATATGGCACCTCACATGCCTTACCCTAGTCCTAGCCCTGCCACACAGTCTGTGCCTCCTCCCCAGTTAGCCCCAGGGGGAAACTGTCAGATTTCTAAAGTAACTTAAATCTTCAAAGGAGCTCTGACCAGCAGCCTACAGGATGTGTGTTGACCTGGTGCAGCCCCCACTCCCAGGGATGGGGTGATAGGGACAGAGGAAGACTGAGATTTCTAGGAGGGTATGAATTCTAGCCAGGGAGACTCACCTGCCCACTTCAAGCCTGTCCTGCACAATTCCTTCTGCCCTGCCTGGTTACTGCCAACTCCCTCTCCCCTACAGCACTGGTACAAGCATCCTAAGTAAGAATGGTGTGCCCAGATCTGGGCCCTATAAGAAGCCAGGTGGTGGGCTCTGAAAGATATTGAGTAGTGGGCCTGGATATAGAAAGTAATGAGGCTGTTTCTCCTTCCCATGGGCATCTCCAGGTAGGGATATGTGTGTGTGTGTGTGTGTGTGTGTGTGTGTGTGTAGAAGGCAGAACGTAAGGTTTACAGAAAAACCCTGGAGAATGGGGGCAGGGAGGGGCATGGAGTTTGGAAGACAGTGTGACCAGCTACACTACTTCCTAGTTTGGTCACCTCAAACAAGCCACGTGTTCTTTGTGAGCCTCAGTTTGCTAGCTGTAAAACTGGACTTAAAAAGACTATTTTCCTACCTAGAGAGAGGACTATGAGAGGGCCAACTGTGACAGGCTGAGATACTGACTAGGTTCAGCTGTCTTCATGGGCTGGGGTGAGACCCAGGCATGCTGATCATCCTGGGCTCTGCCCAAACTGGAGTTGCACCCTGTCTGCTCGCCTGGGGTCCAGCTTGCTCTGCATTGCCTGAAACCACTCCTGCAGCCTCTCTGTTTCTCTCTGGCCCTCATTGATCCTTACTTTACAAATTCTCGATTTTTTCTTTCCTGTTTAAAAAATCCTGTCCAGGCCGGGCGCGGTGGCTCAAGCCTGTAATCCCAGCACTTTGGGAGGCCGAGACGGGCGGATCACAAGGTCAGGAGATCGAGACCATCCTGGCTAACACGGCGAAACCCCGTCTCTACTAAAAACACAAAAAATTAGCCGGGCGAGGTGGCGGCGCCTGTGGTCCCAGCTACTCGGGAGGCTGAGGCAGGAGAATGGCGGGAACCCGGGAGGCGGAGCTTGCAGTGAGCTGAGATCTGGCCACTGCACTCCAGCCTGGGCGACAGAGCAAGACTCCGTCTCAAAAAAAAAATAAATAAATAAAAAATAAAAAAAAATAAAAAATCCTGTCCACCTTCAAGACGTCTTCAGCCTCTCAAGAGCCCTGAGAGGGAGGCAGCGATGGAATTCTTCCCATTTTAATAGTTGCAAACCAAGGCCCACAGCGGGTTCCAAATGCAAAGTGTGGCAGGGGAGAGGAAGGGTGCTTGAACTCGGCTCTTCCAAGCCCCTCCTCCCAGGCTGGAGGCCTAGAGGTCACAGGGAGACTCGCTGGGATGGGCGTGTGGGCTTCGACACGCAGGCGAGAAGGGCATCCAGGGCGTTGGACCTGCGCGGTGAGCGCAGCGGCCAAGGCCTGCGCTTCCCGCGACCCGCCGGCAGCAGGCGCTGTGGCAGCGGCGCCCTCAGTCCAGGAGCATTAACTTAAGAATAGCTCACACTAATATCCCTGGCTGTGTGGAAACAGCGTTTTATTAAATGCTTCACACAGATTTGGTATAATAAAGATGAATATATTATATCCTTTGCCTCCCCCAGAGTGAGACAGTAATAAGGGAGGAGGATAAAAAACAATAAAGTGAAACATAAATACAACGTAATGGGACTTGTGGAGAGGGACCCGTGGCCTGTCTGGGCCGCCATGGGCGACCCTTCCGCTGGGACTGGGGACGGGGTTGCCGGGAGCCGGACTCCAGTCCCTCCTTGCCCAACCAGAGGGTCCCAGGCCCTGGCTTCCACTCTGCTGCCCTGCAGCTAGGAGGACCCGATCTGGGTCCCGGGCTGGGGATGTCCCAGGCGTCCTCTTCCCCCAGCCCCTTCTCCCATTAGGTCCAGGACTGCGGCTGGGGACTAGGCCCCACAGGACAGACGCTTGAGGAAAAACAGATCCAAGAGCGATGGCTGCTCCCTTGGCCTGGGGAAGGCTGCCCTCGCCTCCTGGCTCCAGGGGCTCTCCCATAACATGTGGAAAGTTCCTCTTTGGGTCTTACTTCCATCCTTCTCCGAGCACTGCCAAAATTGTTTACCTGAAAATAAGAATTTCAAAGCTTTCCTAGGGCAGAAAGAAAGGAACGCCTGGAGATTCAGCCCAACTCCTGTCGGCTTAGGTCACTCCAGGCCCTGCCAGGGCTGGATTCACCCGTCTAACGTCTGACTATGTGGCTTAAACACAAGAGCCGCTCCAAACCCCATCTGCGTTCGAATCCCACCTGTGATGCTGGCCAGCGCATCGCGACCTTAACCTGTTTCTTCTTTGGCAAAATGGAGACATGGTGAGGATTGGGGGGAAGATTTCTAACGCCTGGCACCCCATCGGCTGTAAAAAAGAAAAATAAAAAGCAGTTATCAGCTGCTCCCAAAATACTCGTTAAGACAAACGGCCCTTTCAAATCTAGAATTCTCGAGAACCTCACTTCCTCCTTAGGTCCCAACACAGGCGACTCCCTTTCTCAAACGAATGAAAATATTTAGTCTCCCAACACCTTCTCTAAATCTCCTGCCTTTTACCAACGTCAAGACTCCGAGAGGTCGAAAGAGTTACCCAAGATCACACAGCTGGCCGGTGGCAGAGCAATCTGAGGCTAGGGAATCGCCAGCGCACCTCACCTATCTCTGCGAAGACACCCGAGCTGCCTCCCGGAAGCTGCTTGACACTCACAGTCCGGGCTAAGGCCACGAGGACCGCAAAGTTAGTCCAGGCCTCCCTAGGGGACAGGGCTGTGCGGGTGGCACCTCACCAAAAGAAAAGAAACGAATTGAAAGAAATACGTAGAAGCGGAGGGAAGAGGAAAGGAGAAGGAGGAGGAGGAAGAAGATAGGGGAGGGCTGGTGGCCTCCCTGGAGAATTGGGATCTGGCTATGCGGAATACCCGTGAAGATCCCTTTTGAGGCCTGGTGCATCATGCACCAGGGCGGAGGTCTTGACCCGAGGCTAGCCGCGTAGGTGTAGGGAGGCTGCGTGGTGACAGGAGGGGGCGGCTAAGGAAGGGACTCGACCTAATTAATGGAAATGAAGGGGCTGGGGAGGAACTGGAGGGATTGAGCATTGGTGGGTGTGAGATGGAATGAATGCATTCCCTCAGGGTCGGGAACCCAGGGACTTGTGAGAAGTGGGAAGAGCCAAAGGGGCCGGGTTTCGCTCAAACGAAATAAGGCTTCGGGTGTTACGAACTGTACCTAGGGGGCGGCGGGGAGACAGGGGAGTTTGGTGCTGCAGGAACTGCATCCACCGGCCCAAGAAAGGCGGGGAGAGGCCCAAATACGTGGGAGTTCAGAGAGGGCGGAGGGCCCTGCAGCTTCCCTGGAGCCTCACTTCAGGGCAAGGCAAATCCCGGCCAGGACGAAGCAGCCGGGAGGGATCCCGGCTCTGAGCACAGATTCGAGCCTGGCGTCTTCACTTTGCTTGGAGCCACGCCGCCCACGTTCCCTGTGCGACAGGGCACTGCAGATGCTGGGTTTTCCACAGGTCAGACGTCCTCATCGCTTACTCTGGCTGCGTCTCGCCGCCTGTCTTCCCTTGCCCGGGGTCTTGGGACACCGGAGGGGCTTAGCTGAGGGAGCAGTGCCCCGCAGGCGGCCCCCTGACCCATGGGGTCCGAGGGGATTGGGACCCGGGAGGCTCTCTGAACCCGACCTGGGTAGAATCCAGGATACTCTTGGGCGGGGGATTTCTACCCCACTCCTCTTCAAGTGCCTTAGTTGCCTTCTCCCCTCCGCGGGGACTTGGGCGCCGCGCGGCGTTGGCGGCGCTAATGCAACCGGCCCCAGCACGACTGCTGAATTATTCACGTGCAGTTTATTTACTGTGAGAAGCCTGACTCAGGCCTTTCCTGTGTCCATCTAGCCGGTGGGCGGCTCCTAGGTATCCTCTTCTGTCCCAACTAGGTCCTTTCACCTTCCCACCTGGTCTAGCTCAGGCCCCATGTGTCGCCTGCGCCCCGGCAGTAGTAAGACCTCTGTGAAAGGGAGGAAGCTGACTACCATTAACGGTTTTTGGTCAGACTTTGTTGTTTCTGGGCCGTCTGGGTTAGTAAGACAGAAGGTCAGCTCTTGGAGTTTCTGGGGATGGCAAGGAGAAGGGAACCCCAATTGTAGGCCCAGGAAAGCAGCCTCTCTCATCCCATCCCTACCCCTCACCCCACCCCACCCCATAAATAAATAAATAAATAGGCATCCCAGGAGTCCAGCAGCCCCTGGTTCTAGACTGCAGACCTGCTGCGGGTAAACAAGGGACTAAGGGTTTACCCAGCAGCTCACCCCCAGGACAACAGAGGGAGGAGCTATGGGGGACTCTGGAACCTCTCTTAGGGTGGCATCTTTGGCCTTGTGCTTGTCTGTTCCCTTTGCCTCCAGGATGGTCCCTGCTTCTGCACGTATTTACATGCTCCTGGTTTTATAAAGTTCAACTCAAACGCCATCTCCATGGGGAACAGAACCAGACTCTTCCCCACCCACCCCCCACACCACACACACACACACACACACACACACACACACACACAGACAGACACACACACTCACTTAGGTTCCTTTATCCTCTTCATAGACTCCTGGGCTGGTGGGGTGGCATGTGGGTGTCTGTTTCCTGCCACTCCTGCCTGCCCATCACTTCCCATCTTCTGTCCATTCTTCCTTCTGCTTCTGGGCGCAACGAACGATGGGGGGTCAATCCTCTTTTCTTCTCTTTTCTTTTCTTTTCTTTCTTTCTCTCAGAGTCTTGCTCTGTCATCCAGGCTAGAGTGCAGTGGTGTGATCTCGGCTCACTGCAACCTCCAACTCCCAGGTTCAAGTGATTCTCCTGCCTCAACTTCCGAGTGGCTGGGACTACAGGAGCACACCACAACACCCAGATAATTTTTGTATTTTTCATAGAAACAGGGTTTCACCATGTTCACCAGGCTGGTCTCAAACTGCTGACCTCAAGTGATCTGCCCGCCTCGGCCTCCCAAAGTGCTGGGATTACAGGCCCAGCCACTGCACCCGGCCTCAATTCTATTTACAAAAAAAAAAAAAAAAAAAAAATCCAGCCTGGGCAACATGGCGAAGCTCCATCTCTACAAAAAATACAAAAATTAGCCAGGCATGGTGGCATGCTCCTTTGTTCCCAGCTACTTGGGAGGCTGAGGTGGGAGGATCACTTGAGCCTAGCAGGTCCAGGCTACAGTGAGCCCAGATTGTGCTGCTGCACTCCATCCTGGGTGACACAGTGAGACCTCATCTCAAAAACAAACAAAAAAAGCAAATGAAGGACGTTCATTACTAAGTCAGACCACACCACCACAGCTGGGTCCACAACCCAGGAAACTCACTCCGTAGCCAAAAAGCATTAGAGAATGAGGTCTCTGGGCCCCTCTGAGTATATTGGTGTGAGCAGCAGGAGCGCCAAACACATCTGCAGGCAGCTGGCAAAACCAATACACCTACCCTTCCTTTGTACCACTGGTCCTCTCTCTGAGGCACAGGCTACATTCCCTGTCTGGCTCCGTTTTTGTCCCTTGATTATTTATTTAGTTTATTTACTCAACAAATGCTTGGAGCCCTTGGTGTATGCTGGGCTGGCATAGGGACATGGAGAGGTGATTCAGGTCCTTCCTTCCCAAGTTCACAACAGATGGAGAGAGAGAGGCAGGACAGATAGACAAAGCAGCACATTCCTGGCAATATGATAGTGACACCCAAGGGAATGTGCTAAGGAGTACAGAGGAGCTGAACAGGGCAGAGAAGATTTCCCCCAGGAAGTGAGTTGGGCACTAGAGACAGAGCAGGAGGTGCCAGGAAAGGAAGAGACACAAACCATCCCAACCCTTGGATGAGGGGAGCAAAAGCTTGGAACCAAAAGAGAAGGCTGTTCTAGAGGCTGCAGAGTATGGGCACCCAGGACTTGAGCATCTCTGGAAACCTGTCTTCTCCTCCCTGCCTGTCTCTGTCACTCAGTGGTCTGTCTGTGCCCCCCAACACTTCCAAAGGGCAAGCACTCCCCCTCCTTCCATGCAGGACTGCAGTGCCTGGAGGAGGCCGGCTCATGTGGTATGGCCACCTTGTCACGGTGCTCTGAAGGTATTCAGCTCACAAAAGAAGTAGGGGAGGGGAGAATCTGGGAGGGGACCAAAGGAGTGTCCTGCTCTCAGACCGTGCCCCACCTCTTCCTGCCAGCTGAGGTCCTAAGAGCTGGGTGTGGCCAGAGAAAGCAGGGCAGGTCCAGGAGCAAGCTTGGAGCCCAGCCTGAATTTTGAAGCAGCTGCCTCCCTGCTCCCCAGGCCTGGGAGGAGGCTGCTTCCCTCCCCCTTCCCCAGTGGCTTGCCTCCCTTCCCCCAGGTGGCCCGATTCCAGCCTTTACCTTTTCTGGATCCCCACCCTCTTTGAGAATCCCAGATGTCTTATAATATTGTTCCCAGAAAAATGCGCCCACCTGGGTACACATACACAATTTCTGGGGTTTACAGAGCCCCTGACGCCCATTCAAAGAGCCTTGGGGGACCTCTGGTTAAGAACCCCTTGGTTCAGGAATTAAGGGGACAGACTTGAATAAGAAGCAAAACAAAACAAAAGGACAGTGTTCCAATCCTGATCACTCCAAAACAGGCTGTGTGACCCTGGATGGGTTACTTAACTTCTCTGGGCCTCATTTTCCTGTTATGTAAAATCGGGTTAAGAGCGGTAGCTACCCAGAAGGATTGTGAGTAATAAATGAAATGAATAAAACTCTTAGCCTGGAGCCAGGTACAAGGTAAAGACTTACGGTATTTATTGTCATGGTTATTGTTGCTGTTACTGCGGATAGTGGCCTAGGGCAAAATGTAAAAACTGAGTGGGCAGTCCTGGCTCAGCCTGGGTGGCAGGAGGCCGTCTATCATAGTCCACTTCTATAGCGGAAGAAACACTCTGAATTCCACACAGAGTGTCAGAGTAGCAGGTCTTCACGGGACAACAACAGCAACAGTAAATGATCTGCACTGCTGGTCAAGTTAACTTGTTTCAAGCAGCGGCAGACCCTTTTCTCTAAAGGAACTCTGGCCTGAGAGTCAATGCTGGTGCTTACACAAATAATCTGGAAATGAATGGGGGTACCAAAACAATCCAGATTGAATCCAATGGAGCCTTTGGGGGTTTAAGTGAATTATTCTCCTGTGTTAAGGATTAACTTGTTTTGTTTGGGTCTTCAGGGTCCACTTAATGTGGCAATTCATGAAATGCTCTTTCCCTCTTCTTTGTCTGGAATATTCCCTAAACTGAGGAAAAGCAGATTTTTGGCAGAATCATCCCTTCTCTATTCACTGAGAAAGAAAAAACCTGGACCCTGGCTGTTTAAGCAGCAAACAGGAATTCAGGATCAGAGTAGCATATAGATTAGGCTCTAGAGACAGGTATTCCCGCTGTGGAGCAGACCCTGGGAATCAGCTGCTTTCAGCTCCAGGTGAGAAGATTCTGGCCCAGATGACCGGGGGTGGGGAGACCCCCAGAGTGTCTGCCTTGCCCCAGCATGGGGGCTCAGGAGGACTGTCAGGGCAGGCTCTAGCCCCACTGACCCTGTGTTACTCATTTCTGGAATCCTCCTAATCTCTAAACTCCTCTGAGGGGCCCAAACTATCCCCCCTCCACATTGCACAATCATGTATACCCCATTTGCTCTATGGAAAGTCATTCAACCAATATTCAGCGGGAGCCCAGTGTCTCCTAGGACTTGGAAAGCCCGTGATGGACCGGAATACCCAGAGGAAGGCTCCTGCCCTCAGGTCTGGCGGGGGAGGGAGGTAGGGGTCAGTACACAAACCCAAAATATACCTCATTGCTCGGCAAGAGGGGTACAACAGGCAAGCAGATTGGGCTCCCAGGAGTCCAGAAGATTCCAGCCCCCCACACAATGGGGTTTTTCGGCAGCGGAGGTAGGGATAGGACCGCGGTATTGGGAAAAGGTTGGTATGGCAGGTGGGCTGGTTTCCAAAGGTGGCCTGGATAAGGGGATCTGGGTGAATCAAAACAACAAAACACAGGGCGGTACCACAGACTTCCCCACATCCCCGCACCTCACACCGCACTCCGCACCCCAGACATATGTGTGCCCAAGTGTGTTTAACCAAGAGGCCAACCAATTAGCCCAAAAGAGCCAAGCCATAGGCTTGGACAGCAGGTACAGGTCAGTCAGGGAAGAAGAGGTTTGGCGTCGGTGGCGGAGGTAACTCAGCTGATGATTGTGAAGTGTCCTGTTCCTGTTGACATGGTGTGCTGAAGACTAGAGGTCTCAATACTAGCCAGCAGGATAAGATATTAAGAACATGCCAAGCAGAGGGACCCCTCTGCTCCCCAGTTCACATTCCCCTTCCTGTCAACCTCCCAGTAACCCTGAACTCCTCTGGTCTTGAGGGTCTGGGAGATGGGCAACAGCAGGGGCTGGGCTTGTCCTTAAAGTCCTATCCTGTGGGCTAGTACCAGACGCGATGCAGAGACTGAAGAGGACAGGAAGGGTGTGGAAGTATGGGAGGAACTCTTTCTCTCTCTCTTTTTCTCTCGATTGGGATCCAAGGGTCCTGGTTCCTGGATCTAGAGGGGCCTCCCTGCCTCCCTGCTAACCTCACTTGCCTGAAGCTCTGGGTCAGGGGATTGGGGTTATGGCAGGAAAAGGCTGAGGTGGGATCCTGAGGGCAGGAAGTGAGAGGAGTCGACAAGACCCCTCTTGGCCCCAGAGCTTCAAAGCCACCCACGTTCAGCTCATTGACGCCCTCTCCCTCTGGTCCCTCTCCACCAGTCTCTAGGCTCTGACTCCACTGTTGCCAGGCCCAGCATCACCCGGTGGCTCCCAGGGCAGCACAGAAGCAGTAGAGACAGGTCTGCCCGGGAGTGGGTCTGCAGCTCTGAGGGAACTGTGATTCCCATTCTCACCAATCCTGCCTCTGAGAACTTGTCTTCCCCACTTGCTTACTTCCAACCCGAAAATGCAGGACAAAGATGAGTTAGAGGGTAGGGGTTCTTCCCAACACTCAGAGCACTGGGGCACCAAACAAGAACCCTTTCTACCTACACTGTCCGTTTTACTCCAGAGAGCTGCCAGCCATGATTCCAAACAAACAACTGAAGGCGAGATCATGAAACCTATCTCTGCTGTACAGAGGCCCCCTACACTGAGGCATCCAGAGAAAGAACCTGCTT